CCTTCCCAACTATTTAATGGGGAAAAACAATAAACGTAAATAACTTACAATTGAATAGTTTTGTGGCGGCAAATTTTACGTTAATCGTGAAATGTTTGCGCAATTTTGGGGCAATAAAATTTGAAGAGAGGGTAAAGGACAGCCAAAGGACGAGGACCGAGGACGACAATGGTCCGCCATTAGCAGCATTATTCTTCCACTAAAACCCCCCTTTTTTGCCACTCCTTCTCCTCAGCCCCATTTCTCTCATATGGGTTACGCTTTCCCTTTACCATTTTCCATTTCCCCATTTCCATGTTTGATTGTAATTTTGTAATTTTCCCAGTTTATTATCTGACAACATTATCGCATACACACACACACACACACACTTGCCTCCAAAAAGGACCCTTGGTAGCAGGACAACGAAACATTAAATTCTTGGCCGTCGACGTCGCCATCGCTCTTATCTTGTGTCGCATAAAACGCCGAGTGAATTTTCCAACTTGCACACACACCCCACACACACACACACCAACACGCACAACAAATAAACTCATCGAATTTCTCTTGTTAATTGAAATAAAACTATTTCCATCTCCAGCCACAGTTTGGGTACCCCAAAAAGTTTTCACTGCCCAAAATATCAGATAATGTTGGGAAATAGGTTCATTGGGAAATCTTAAATCAAATAGCAATTTAATATCATTCAAATTCCATACAAAAATAAGTAAATAAATAAAGAAATAATTGAGTAAATCGTTTAAAACTAATATATATAAATAAAATAAATAAAGGGTAATAATAATATATAGTAAAATAAGAAATGAAGTTGATAATTATGCATATTAAATTTCATTGTGTTTCGCTCTTCTTTTTAGAATTTAAAATTCGTCAATTCTCCAAAATAAAAAGGTAAACAAAGCCAGCAGCACTCCAAGTGTCAAAATTGAGAACCACAAGAGTAGATCGGATTCTCTTTAAGTAGGTAAAGAGCTTCCTCTCCCGCTCTAAAACTCTTAGGTTTTACTTACTTAAAGAGAATCCGACATACCAGATCGAGAGAGCGGACAAAGTCAGTTACGGTACTTCCTAACGGGTATTTCCACAGTCCGCTATGGCAGTGTTGAAAGAATAGCTTTTTATCTGGCTTCATCTAGCAATAACCACAGACGACATGAATTTAACTATTTTCCCACTAGGTTTAGCGCATTCCAATTGCCTAATTATGCATTCTTCAAATGTAATCTGGCGCAATTTTGGCGTACCAAACACTACTTCTAATAATGAAGTTAGTGCTGTTAACTTTAACTAGCACTAACACTAACTTTTTGTGTTTAGCTTTTTTTAGCTTATTTGGGTTCGAAGTCAAGCTAAAACGCCCACAACCTGGCAGCACTGATTGAGAGATAGGTGAAGCGAAAAATTCCGCGCGCAAATGCACAGAAAAGGCGGGCTCAAAAGGAATAAGAAAATATGTTTGGTTCACTCACTCGCATTGAATGATTTGCAGCTGCAGCTCCCAACGGCGAATTAGAGAACGAAAACGGACGAAAAAGACGAAATTAAGCCTTCTTATTGAAGGCATTGAAAACGCGAATACAATTACTTTGCCTGCTTGGATTTCCACTTGCACATAAACAAAAACAACAAAATGAACTAGCCAAGAAAAGCGCACTGATCTTGGCTATGTATATATGCAATTACATATATAAATACTTACATATTAACATGTAATTACATATATATGTACTTACATATATATTTACAGGCATTTAGTAATTAAAAAACACACATACGATCGCGGCCCGGACTGCCCCCGCTTCACACACACTTTTCACTGCGGGGGCTCACTGATTTTTCGCATTTTCGACTGATTTTTCCGCGGTACTTTTCCGTTTGCTTTTACCGTTGACCGACGCGGCGATCTCCTGCACGGAGACTTCTTCGTTTTCGGCTATTTTTTCCTTCCACTCCGACCGGCGTCGTGGGAGTAACTGATTTTGCACGGCCATCGGGAGAGCTCTCTATGTCATATTGGAAGGAGGCGATGCTTCGGCTTATTGGAAAGCGGCGCCAGAGAGTGAGAGAGATCAGGTGGCCATTTCCAAAGCACTTCCTGGATCAACCTAGACTCAAACCATGGTTGCGAGATCCAATTAGTTTATCTTTATCTAATTGGGTGGCTGTGCTAATTATCCTGAAACAAACAAATAAATAACAAATAGGTTCCCAATAAGTTAGTTTAAAAGAAACTAATTTGGATTAGAACAAACATCAAGGCTTTTTATAACGCTGCAAAGGTATTATAATTTTAGTTAAATGCTTAAAAGGTTGTGAAGGAATCATTTCCGACCCTATAAATCATATATATTTTTCATCAGCATTGAAAGCTGAATCGATCTAGCCAACTTAAGAAAGAAATTTTTTTTTTTAATTTGTTCATAGTTTTATGCTTATTTTTACATTATTTAAATATTGAAAAATTGGCAAAAATTAAAGCTTTTAATAATAATAAATAGAGTATGCAGATTTATTACCCTAATAAAAACTAACATAGGAAAGCTTTCTGAATTAAAATTAATGCATTTTTGGCTTAGTTATGAGATTTTTAAAATTTGATTTGTCGAAAATTTCAAATAAAAATATTGTTAATATCGGTACAAAAATGGTAATGGGCCTTCAGTCAGAAGCTTAAAAGAAAGTGAAGGAGTCATTTCCGACCCTATAAATCATATATATTCTTGATCAGCAACAAAAGCTGAATCGGTTGAGCTAACTTAGGAATGAAAAAATTTTTTTTAATTTTTTACCAAAATTTTATCCTTATTTTTACATTATTTAAACTTTGAAAAATTGAGAAAAATTTAAATTTATTAAAGTTTTGTTTTGAGTATGCAAATTTATTAACCTAACAAAAACTAGTATAGAACAGCTTTCCGAATTAAAATTAATGCGTTTTTGGCTTAGTTGTGCGTTTTTTAGGCTTTGGATTTGTCGCGAAAATTTCATACAAAAATATAGATAAATATCAGTTAAAAATTGGTAATATAAATTTTGTCAGAAGCCTTAAACGCTGTGAAAGAGTCATTTCCGACCCTACAAATCATATATATTCTTGATCAGCAACAAAAGCTGAATCGGTTGAGCTAACTTAGGAAAGAAAAAAAATTTTTTAATTTTTTACCAAAATGTTATCCTTATTTTTACATTATTTAAACTTGGAAAAATTGAGAAAAATTTAAATTTATTAAAGTTTTGTTTTGAGTATGTAGATTTATTAACCTAACAAAAACTAGCATAGAACAGCTTTCCGAATTAAAATTTATGCATTTTTGAATTAGTTATGAGTTTTCAAACATTGAAAATATTCAAAAAAATTTTGATATTAAAATATAGCTAAATATCGACTTAAAGAATGTGAATATTTTAAATTTATTTATAATCGATTTTCAATTAAACCTATAATTTAATTGCAAACTGCAAGGTTTTATAAACTAAGGTTTTGGTAAGTTAGTGTCGTTTCTTGTTATAATATTTTATATATCTTATAATAACCCTCTAAGGGTATAAAAGTTCACAACCTTGCAGTTTTAAATGGAAATAATAAGAATAAAGTGTCCTTTTTCAACTTATAGATGCATTTTTAATGCTTTTTAACGAACTAACTCACGAAATATAACCTTTAAGTGTTCTTATATAATCTAAATAAATAATAGACTCTAAAAATAAGGCTTTCCCATACAATTTATTAAATAATATGTCTGAAAATAAATATTTTCCAATAAATAGACCACCCTAGAATACTTAGGTACTTAACTCCTTGAAGGAAAAAAAGTTTAAAAACAAACAAAGTGTTCAATAAACTCTAAACAAAAAGCAGAAAGAAACCCTGAGAAAAATATACAGAAAAATCTCGACAAAAATGTCAAGTGAAGTACCGTGGCCCTAATAAACTTAATCAAATTTCCAGCAGCTACGTGCACTTGCTGCAGGCAGCGTCTACATCGTCCTCGTTTTCGTCCTTTTCGTCCTGCCAATGTGTGACGTGACATACGATATTTGAGTTTGGAGTTTTGTGGCTTTTAACTTGATTTTTTCCCTGCTTTTTTTTGTGTGTGTGTTCGTCCCCCTTGCCCTTTGTGTCTGCCCCATCTATGAGGTGTTAATGCTTTGTAAAGTTTTTTGCTTGAAAACAAACAAAAAAGCGGAATCAAAGGCAAAGGATTTTCGTTTCGAGAGGGAATGGGGAAAACCTCACAGAAAATAAAAAAAAATAAATAAAAGAGCAGCCACAAAGCATTTTTATGAGTTTCTTGTGTGTGTGTGTCACTTACTTACTGCACTTTTCTTTTAGTTTTTTTGCTCTTGTTTTAAGCAATGGCTTTTTTTAAGTGGCTAAGGCCAAAAACTTGGCCCCCAACTTGGCCTGAAACTGAGCGGAAACTTATTGGGAAATATATATTCTACATAAATAATAAATAAATATATATTTAATGCATTTGTCGTAAGGAATTTAATTAAATTTATTAAGCTTCTTTATACACTTGAAACAATTTTGTAATATATTGAAAATTCATGGAATTGTTGGAATGAAAACATACAAATAAGAATTCCAGTTAGGGGATAAGATTTTCTTCGATCATTTGATGCTCTTCAATTGATTTGTTCAGGATTTTTCATATTATTTCCGTTGGTCAAACTTCTTCATTATTAACTGCATAGACGTCTCTAATATTTGCTAAATTTGCATATATTCTCCAATGATTTTTCGTAGTTCCCCTATAAACTCTTCATAGATTTTATTATAGGTTCCTCATAGATTCTTCATAGATTTTTAATTCTTTCCCAAGAATTTTCTTCAAGAAATTTGTAGATTATTTACAGAATTTTTCTAGTTTGCTTTTATTGATTTTCAATCATAAAATGTTTCAGGCTCTTCACTGATTCTGCATCGAATTTTTCTAAGCTTACGTCATAGTTTTCTTATAGGAATCTCCATTTATATCTACAGATACCTCAAGATTTTTCATAATCTCTTTATTAACTATAAGAATTTACTTAATTTTCTAAAAAAAATCGTGCAAGCTCTTCATTGAATCTTCTTAAAATTGCTGTAGACTCTTCAAAGATTCGGCATAGTTTCCTCATAGAATTTTCTCCATACAATTTTTGTAGACTCTCCATAGATTCGTCATAGTTTTCTTATAGATTCTTCATATATATATCTATTGATATCTCATAGATTGGTCATAAACTTCTTAAATTTTCTACACTCTCCAAAAGAATTTGTACAAACTCTCCATAGATTCTCCTCAGAATTTTTGTAGATTCTCCATAGATTGTTTCCTTAAAGAATCTTCATAAATATAGATACCTCATAGATTTTTTATAATCTCTTTGTTGACTCTTCAATTTTTCTACACTCTCCAATGAATTTGTAGGAACTCTCCAATGATTCTCCTTAAAATTCGTCTAGACTCTCCATAGATTCGTCTTTGTTTCCTTAAAGAATCTCAATATTGATAGATTTAAATAATCTTTCTGTTGACTCTTCAATTTTTCTACACTCTCCAGAGAATTTGTGCGAACTCTCCAATGATTCTCCTCAACATTTTTCTTGACTCTCCATAGATTCATATTATTTTTCTTATCGTTTCGTCATGGATTTTCTAAAGATACCTCAAAGATTTTGCATAATCTCTTCACTAACTCTTAAATTTTTCTAAACTCTTCAATAAATTTTTGTAGACTCTTCCTTTCTCTCTGTTGCTATCCTGCTTTCTTACTTGTCCGTTGCAATAACGATCCAAGGACATCAAAGCTGCACTCAATTCCTTAGACAACGGTGGCCACCAGGACCGTAATGTCATCCGGCTTGCCCCCCGAAGTATCGATATTGAGTGACCTTGCATTTTTGGTAAATGGTGAATTATACTTTGGATTCAAGCTCAAGGTTCGAGCCATCAGGGCCAATGAATTGGCGACCATCTGAAGGACCACAGGATTTTCCTCGAAAGCCAAACCGCTGAGCATCTTGACTATCAACCGCAGTGGCAAATTGTCAAAGACGCCGTCGGTGGCCACAAGGAGGACATCCCCAGGACGTGTCACAAATCCTTGACGTTCGGCACAATCCGGTGGATCGATAAGGAATTGACCATTTAAAAATGGAGGCGGCGAGGTCAACTGGAAGGGAGTATTAAACTGATGTTGCTGCTCCCGTGACTTGCACAAGATACGCCCCGAACGTATGCAAATGAAGCCACTATCACCAATATTGAGAGTATAAATGATACTATCCTCTCGATCCAAGGTTAATAGGCAAACGGTGGCACTGCCCAGAATAGGACATTTTTGCTCCAATAAATCCAAATAGGCGCGTTTCAGAAGCAAATCCAAACGTCGGGGATTAAAGTTGGGATTGGAGGACAAACGATTGCAGCCACGCATCAAGTATTCACTGAACTCACCAGGATCAATGCCATATGCCCGCCAACCGCCGACGCCATCGGCCACGCCCATTGTATCCGCCTGCGGCGAGGTGTTTTGGAACCATGCATCCTCACCGAACTTGCCACGCTCGTAGCGTGGATAATTGGTGAAATCCTTGGGAAAACCACAGGCCACACTCACCAGTCGTGGATACAAGAACTTGGTGTGACAACTACCAGTTTCTTCCAGTTGGTAATCCTCACTACGGTGAAAGTCACCCTCACCGCCCCGATGGAGTTGCTGCTGAGGATTATGCACCACCTCCGCCTGCTCCTCCTCCTGCTCCTGCTCCTGCTCCTCCTCTTGCCTAATCCAATAGCTTCTGCTGGCCCTAATCCAGGGGAAAAATATATATATATATATACTAAAAGTATATATATAATTATAATACTATATATCATAATACCTTATGTCTTCCTCCCTGGGTTCAATTATTACACCGGCAGATAATAAACGCCAGAGATTGCGCAGGAAATTGCCACTGGCATAGGTGGCCATTATGGCCACATCGAGTAGCTGCCGAAGCAGAGAGCGGCTCCTAAGGGAGTCTAGGTTTAAATCCAAATCCATTTTGTAAACTTTTTCCAACTATAATATATTTTCTCTGTATCTGTATTTATATGTGTGTTGCTCAAACGAATTCCAAACGAAAACTGAACTAAGGCAAGTCTCTAGGATCTATATAAGTTGTGGTGGGGAACAGCCTTGTCAAAGATTACTTTGTTTTCGATACATTTTTGAAAAATTTAATGACAAATATAAAGAAAGTTTTCTACAAACTCCAAATCTTAGAAAGTTTCTTTCTATGCTAAGTTACTATGAACAGAAACTATGATCAGTAAGTATCAATTAACTTTAAATAACTATGATCAGTATCTAACTATAATTACTAAGTATCTATGACCAGTAAGTATGTATGTATGATTAGTTACTAACTTTGAACACTAATAAACAATGACTTGCAACTTTTGAAACTCAATACATTTCTGATACTTGGCTGACAGCAGGCACTTCGTTCCGGGGATGTTAGAACCAGTTGGGAATTATAAGCACAGATGTGCGAGATTTGGTTTGGGACAAACTTAAGAGCATTTGAATGAAACTATAGAGTTATTCTTCTATATAATTTTTGAATTATATAAGTCGGATAATGGCGAATCGGTGGAATATATATATATATACATATATAGCTGCCATATGACTGATCGGAAATGCTAACGAAAAAATTATAACTTGCAGTTTTTAACAGATTTTCATTAAATTTAATATATATCCTTTATATATTAATCTAGAATTTTGTGTAATATTTTATGAAAATCTAAATACTATATCATATAGCTGTCATACAAAAGATCATTAAAAATAAAGAAAAATTAAATGAAACAGGCCTGACTTTATTCTTTTTTAAAATAGATATTTTTATAATTTATATTGTATTAATTTCTAGTGATTGAATTTCAATCTGCAAGGGTATACAATCTTCCTTTTTAGTTTTTTAAATATTTTTTCTAAAGCTCAGCAAAAGACCTCACTCCTATCTCTGTATTTACCATCACAGATCATGCTTTGTATATAATCCTTAAATCCTTTTGGACCATTTGATTTGTGGAATAATTTTTTGGCTACTCCTCTAGGTCCTTCCTACCCCCTCCCCCACCCGAATTTTTAATCCTTTACCCCTTTGACTCAACTCAACTCAATTATGCACAATTACGGGCGCAAACAGATGCCAAAAGTGGCGCCACATGGGAATTGCCCCCCAAACTCTGCAGTTTTCAGAGGGGGAAGGGAAGGAGAATTGGGCTCTTTTTTGGGTTTCTCTTTGGGAATCGGAAAGCAGTCGCTGCAATTTGCCATTGCCATTGAATTTCCAGTTGCAGTTGCAGTTGCAGATGTGGCACTTGAATTGCATGCATAGCTCATTGCTTGCCACTCGACGGGGACTGAAGTGCCGCAGATGTGTTTGGGTGCTGCCTATGCACGTGAAAAAATAATCTATTAAGTTTATATAATTCAGGAAGAAAATTCTAGAGAAGAAATGTTAAGAAAAAATCCAAATCTCCTTATAAATAATTAGAGAGAAAATAAACAAACCTTTTCTCTCAGATTGCACCTAAAACAATCTATCTGCCTGTGCATTTCAGGCAAGGCGGGACTGAGAAAGTGACTTAAAAGAGAGAGCCAGTTAGTCAAGAAAGAGACAGAGAGCGGTATTAAATAAAAATTACGTATAAGAGTGAAGTATCTTATGATTTGCTTGTACATGGCAGGCAAAGTACAAAGAAAAGAGCGAACCAGAGATACACATCTTCTCTTAACTTTGGACTAGAAAAATAGTACTTTTGGGTCCCAAAATATATCAAAACAACATTTCAAAATCAAACTCACATATTTTAAGTTTATATTCAAGTTCCTGTATATATATTATACCCATTTTTTTGGACAGTGTGCAGGTTCGCATTGCCATTGAATTGCTCAAATACTGGCATCGTCGTCATCGTTTAATGGCTTGCCTTTTTTGGTTGCCATGTCTACTTGGGTATCTCCCAGTTTTCCCCCCGAAAAACGATGAGGCAACATATGCGAGTGGCATGAATAAACGGCCTGCTTGACTGACTGACTGAATGAATGAATGAATGAATGAATAAATGAACGAATGAGCGAATGAACGAATGATGCCAACTGACTGGCCTGATATGAAGTGCAATCGATGCAAAAACGCTTTCGAGTGCCCATCCATCCATCCATTTAGCCATTTAGCCAGACTAGACAATCCTTGCACCAGATGCAGCATTCCCCAAATTGTGGGTGTGAGTGTGTGTCCTGGTGTGTGTCCTGGTGTGCGTGTGCGTCGGTGTGAAAGGATTATTCACACACTATTGATTTCAAATTGAGTTGACTTCAAATCCGTCTGAATTGACAGCACACAGCACACAGCAGCAGCAGGCAGGCAGAGGAAGTTGACTAATGAATTTAATTTGCACTTGGGTGTTGAGGCAAATAGAGCAGCTCGCAGGACTCACAGGACTCTCACACACACACACACACACACACACAGAGGGGGAGAGTGGGGGAACTGACTGATTGACTGCCTACGCCTGGCCGCCTGTAAGTAGGCAAACTGTCTTTGGTTAAAGGAAGCCACTTTACCACCCAGGAATTTATTGCCACAATTGATTGACATTACAAAAAATAACAAGAAAATAAGATAACTTTGGCATGCCAAATATATATATCCTTTACAGGGTCGAAAATGACTTCTTCTGAATAAAAAATTATAATTATCTGCAAGGGTTTATAAGTGTAAATTAAATTATAAATATCTGCAAGGGTTTATAAATGTAAATAATAAATAATTATAAAATACTAATAATGGTACTTAACAAGCAAGGAAACTAAATTCGAAATCCGAATCGAATCGGAAATCGATCATAAATAAGCTTAAAATATTCGCATTCTTTGAAGCGATATTTATTAATATTTTTATATGAATTATTCTTTGAATATTTAAATTTTAAAAATCTCATAACTAAGCTAAAAATGTGCTAATTTCAATTCGGAAAGATGTTCTATGCCAGTTTTTATTAGCTTAATAAATCTGCATACTCAATTCGAAATTTAAAAGAATTTAAAATTTTATCAATTTTTAAAAATTTTAAAGATGTAAAAACGGTTTAAAAAAATTTAGGAAAAAAATAATAAAAAATTATCTCCCAAAATATTTTTATGCTGATCAAGAATATATATGATTTATGGGGTCGGAAATAACTCCTTCACAGCTTTTTAAGCTTATGACTGAAATTGTAATACCATTTTTTAACCGATATTTATCTATATTTTTATATGCAATTTTATCGACAAATCAAAGTCTAAAAATCGTATAACTAAGTCAAAAAGGCACTAATTTTGATTCGGAAAGTGTTCCTATGTTAGTTTTTAATAGCTTAATAAATCTGCATACTAAATTCGAAATTTAAAAGAATTTAAAATTTTATCAATTTTTTTAAATTTTCAAGATGTAAAAACGGCTTAAAAAAATTGGAAAAAAAATAATATACAAAATTATCTCCCTAAATAAGTTAGATCGGTTCAGATTTTTATGCTGATTAAGAATATATATGATTTATTGGGTCGGAAATGACTCCTTCACTGCTTTTTAAGCTTCTGACTGAAATAATAATACCCTAGCAAGGGTATAAAAATATTTAATTTAAGGCTTTTCAATTTAAAATATTTCAATTACTATTTACAAATAATTTCCATTTTTTACACCCAAATTAATCAAGACAAACACCGCTCAGAACTTCCAATCCACAAATGTGGATCGCATTTCCAGGATCTACATTCCTCCCATGAGAGGGAGAGAGCTGTAGCAGTTACGTCTCGTTTGCTTACATTCAATACATTAAATCACACTCCGAACAACGAAAACGAAGAAGGATGCAAAAAAAGTAATGGCTGATCTTTACTCACTCTGTTGTTGTTGCTGTTGCTCTTTTCACTTGCGCATTCTTTTTCTTATTAGGCCTGAAAAAACGGATACACACACACGGGCGTTGATTTTGCGGCTTTAAATTCCAATTTTCACACGTTGATCGGGTTGTGAACTTACCGAAGAGTTGGATTTTCACTCCGGAATAGAATCCGCAAATATTCGTTGATTTTTCCGGCTGTTTCCCGCTTTCCACACTTTTTTCCAAGGAGCTGCGTGTTTTCCGTCCGAACAATTTGAGTGCGAGTAAAGAAATGCAACAGGGAATGGAGGACATCGCAAGAGTATCGGAATGCGGCAAAAAAACGGTAAGCCTTTAAGCGGGACTTTTGCTCTATGAGAGCGGCACTCTCTCTCTCTCTCTTCTAACTAGTGGCCGCCAGAGATGCCAAAGAATGAGAAATAGAAAAGTAATTTCAACTAATTTTAAAGAGATTTAAGTAAACACGATCTATATAATTTATTATTAACTTTAATGGTATTTCAAAGGCCATAAAAACACTCCCCCTCTTAGTTCCTATAGGAATTTTATTATTTATTTTTACTTTTCCTATTGGGAGAATTTAAAACTCTAGCTAATGTGTCATCAATGCCGCTTACCATTATCGGCCACCAGTTGAAAGAGCGGGAGAGAGAGAGTGGGAGAGTGTCACTCTCAGAGAGCGCAACCTCCCACCATTCTCCGTTAGATTTTGCATTTTGCATTTGCATTCGGAATGTTCGGACGTCAAACTCTCTGTGGAAAAAAGTGTGGAAAAGCGGGAAAAACGGCCGGGAAAATTGAGATCTGTGCTCCGCCGTGAAAACCTAAACCTCAAGTAGTCATGGAACTAGATCAACTTGCGAAAATTCGCATAGAAAGTGGAAAAACCTAAGCCCGAGCTGTGTGCGCAATAAGAACCGTTCGATTTGTGTGTGTTTTTGTTTCTTTTTTTCAGGCCTAACGGCGAAAAAAGTGTGCAACTGCAAGGGAAGATCCAAAAGTGGCAGTGTTTCGTCTCGGTTTTGTTTTTAGATTATTAAATAATATATTTTTTAATTAACATATAATTTCGCTGGCCTATTTAGTTTTCGGTGTAAATTAAAACGTTTTCTGTGCAAGACATTTGTAAATAATTTTTCCCGGTGCATGCCATTTGTAAATTCCATCCAGGAAGAAGGAAGAGAAAGAGAGAAGCAAAACACTCTCTAACGGCAAAAACAACAACAACTGGGTGAGTGAAGATCAGCCATTACTTTTTTTGTATCCTTCTTTCGTTATGGATTTTCGTCGTTCGGTTTTGTGTCTTTGATAGTTGGCTTTGAAAATTGAATATAAACGAACGAGAAGAAACTGCACGGGAGCCACGTAGATCCTGAGAATGCGATCCACATTTGTGGATTGGAAGTTATAGGCGGTGTTTGTCTTGATTAATTTGGGTGCAAAAAATGGAAATTAATTGTGAATAGAAATTATAACATTTTAAATTGAAAAGCCTTAAATAATTTATTTGCAAGTACTATTTCTATACCCTTGCAACGGTATTATAATTTCATTCAGATGCTTAAAATTAGGAAAGGAATCATTTCCGACCCCATACATCATATATGTATATTCTTGATGAGATTATGAGATTTTTAAATTTTGATTTGTCGAAAAATTTCATATAAAAATATAGTTAATATCGATTAAAAAATGGTATTACACCTACAGTCAGAAGCTTAAAACTAAGTGAAGGAATCATTTCCGATCCTATAAATCATATATATTCTTGATCAGCATGAAAAACTGAATCGATCTAGACATATCTGGTAAAAAAAAAATTTTACCAATTAAAAAAAGAAATTTTCATGGGTTTCAATTGTCAAAATTTGACCAAAAATTTAAATTAAAAAAATTTTAAACCAGATTTGTTACCCCTATAAAAACTAGCACAAAAAAGTTATCCGAACTAAAATTAATGCATTTTGGCTAAGTTATGATATATTTCTTATTCGAATCCATGATCCTAAGGGTAAGTACAAGGGTATAACCACGTCGGCTTCTCGAAGTTACCTTTTTTTTCTTGTTATATCTATTATTATACATTATTTACATTTGTAAATTATATATTATTTATATTGTTATTATATATTCACATATATATTATTCACATTATTAAATTATATATTATTTATATAATTATTAAACATTGCTGACATATATTCTGTGTGCCAACTTATAATTTGTTTATTTTATTTAAAACTCACAAAACAATACCTCTCTCTAACAAAACTTTTAAAAGAGCTTAATTTTAAGTTTAAAAAATACTTCTCTATCCTTTTTTGGTCAGTGTTTGGTCAAAGGACCTCTCTCTCTCTCTCTTTTCAAACTTGCTCCTTGTGTCCTTTCGAGGCTAGCCGCAATTGTTGACTGACCAATGATCAATTTAATAGGAAAACAATATTGATAGCCAAGGAGAAGGAGAAAAGCAGGAGCCAGTATCAGGATAGAGTAAGAGGGAAGTCCTCTGGACTCTGAAGGAGCGGAAGTGTTGCGGTTTCTGGCGGAGATTGGGGGCACTTTCCACTCCTGGGCTTTGTTTGTTTGCCTGGCAAACTTGCCGGCAAACAGCAAACTTTCCTTCGGTTTTTGTGTGTGTTGTGTTGTAACTAAATTTTGAGGAGGTCCTGGAAAAGGACAACGGACAACACTTTCACTTTGGGAGCCTGGGTTTCTTGTGGTTTATTATTCACGCCTGAATTGATTGTAAATTAAAGTTTGCCCATGTCCCCTGTGCTGTGCATTTTGAGGTCAGCCTATGGCAAAGTTTTCTTTTGTTGCGAGAGAGGTCCTGCCTGAAGTCCGGCCATTGTGTCCCGGGCCCACTCATCGCCCGGGTCCTTGATCCTGGCCGTATTAGAAGCCAAAAGGCATTCGAGTGCACATAAGACGATTACACATCATTTAACCAACAACGATGACGCCGACGACGACGATGCTTCTGCAAAACTATGGAGGCCAAAAAGGACTCTGTAATTGTTGCTCCTTCGCCTGCCTTTCTCCCCTTGACACTCCTCACTTGTTATTGACTGCTCCGCATATTGATTATATAGTCCCCATATCCTGCTTCCTAAGGAGTTCATTTTCCATTTTCTCCGTCTCGACTTGATTGCCGGCATTTGTCGTTTGTGTTTCAAATTCAATCGCTGCACTCAAGTGTGTTCAAAATGTATTCATGTGCAAAGGGCTTTAGTTTGTATATATACATATATATATATATATCTTTCATATTTAAGTATTGTATATATTCATATATTGGGTATGTATATTCTGTGGTCTGAGTTTGAAAATTAATTTGGTGTTAATTCAGTGAAAGTGAAGGAGAAAACTTTGACAGAAACTTTAAGATGGAAACTTTGGGTGAGTTTAAACTTTATACAAGTTTTTATAATACTGGTAAATATAGTTTTGGTATTGTATTTATATTTGTGATAAAAACATAAAATAATTCTTATTAATTCATGGTATATTCCTGGCATATTCCTCATTTAATCTAATGAATAATCCTAATTTATTCCTAGTTGATTCCTGATATATTCCTGATTTATTTCTCGTATATTCTTGATATATTTTTTGATATAAACATAATATAATCCTATTTAATTCATCGTATTTTCCTAGTATATTCCTGGTATGCTCCCCATTTAATCTAATGGTATATTTTTGGTATAATAGTACAGAATAATTATATTTTACTCATGGTATATTTCGGTATATTCCTGATAAATCAAATAAAATAAATATTTCTGTTATATTCCTGATATATTCGTAATATATATAAAAAAGATACAATCATAATATAATCTTATTAAATTTATGGTATTATCCTGGTACATTCCTTATATTCCTGGTACATATATACCTCATTTAAACTAATGGTATCTCGAATAATAATCCTAAAATAATTATATTTTATTCATGATATATTGCTGGTATACTCCTGATAAAATCCTTAAATATTTCTGGTATATTACTGATAAAATCCTTATATAGTTCTGCTATATTCCTCTTATATTACTGGTATATTCTTAATATATTTGTGATAAAAACTTGATACAATCCCACATGGTACTGGCATATTGCTGATATATTCCTGATAAAATCCTGATATGCTTCTGATATATAATCCTATTTTATTCGTTATATATTCATGATATATTTATTATATATTCCTGGCATAATCTTATTTTATTTTTGTATATTTCTCTTATATTTTTCTATATTTCTCTTATATTTTTCTATATTTGTCAAGCGGCTTTCTAGCTGATTTATCATTAGTGATACATATTTTTTAAATATTTATTTATTTATTTTCTATTACTTAAGACTTTAAGAACTATAAAATAAATTCTTATTGCTCATTTAACCAAGCAAAAACTTAATTTACATATAGACATAGTTAGTAAAAACATAGTCAAAAATATATATATAAAATATATTTTATAAAAATGGATTATTAACCCAATCACCTTGGCTTCATGTTTTATGTCCTATAACATTTACAAACACATTCCGAACCTCACACTAAAAACAGCAGCAATTTTTTGTTTCGACGACAAACATTTAAGGAACTCGCAATCTCCCCGTCGATTCCTTAACCCAAAAAATGCAGACCACTTCCGGTAGCGCAACATCCGGCAAGTCTGTGCCCCAGGCTCCAAGGTCACAGTGGGTTATGGTGGGCGTGGGTCTGGGCGTGGGTGTGCTTGGCTTAGCCGCACAATTTCTACTGCGCCGCCCACCCGCCACAGCCACCGCCGCTGGACCAAATTGGATCAGCCAAATGTGGTCGCGTCTCAATGCCAAGACTTTCTACAGCGGAGGTTTCAAGGTAGAAAATAAGAAATATTATATAAAGTATTATTTAATGATATTAATTAATGCTCATCAGGAGCGAATGACGCTGCGCGAGGCATCTCAAATCCTGGGCACCAGCATTAGTTCACCTCCGGCCCGCATTCGTGAGGCACATCGTCGTGTCATTTTGGCCAATCATCCGGATCGCGGTGGTTCCCCTTATTTGGCCTCCAAGATCAATGCGGCCAAGGAGGTGATGCTACAAAATCGCAAAAAGAATTAGTAGAAATCGAACAGACAAATGACATCAAAATTATTTACGGGGATTTGTATTTAGGATAATTTTTTTATATGTTTAAATCAAGAAAATGAGGTGTGTAATAAAAGTAATTTTGGCTTAGATTTTGAAATAAGAATAAGAAGTAAGATATTTATAGGATTATATATTATTTTATTGTAATATATATTCTTTAACTACAATAAATACCTTTTAAATGGTAAATAATATGTTTGCCTTGCAGCTATCTAATGCTTGCTAGATCCTTTCTTGCCACAAAATACCTGTACATGTTGTCCTCGGGTCAACTGAATGGCCAGAATCAGGCTGAACTGCTTTTTAAGCTGCCAAAGTTTTGCACTTGCCAGGCAGAGGGGGTTTTCTAGGGTTAACCCTTTAAAGAAAGTCTAGGAAAAATGAGGTTTTTAATGATATTATTTAGAAACTAAGTATATAAAACCTAGGAAGTTTATTTGGAGACAATATAGTTTATGGTAAATCTAAAAGAATATGTATTTTATAGATTTTTATTAAGAGCATTATTATTATATGATTATTATATGTTTAAGGTACTGTTAAAACTCTATAGGTTAGTGTATTTTAATATTTTATAGATATATATAATTTAATTATATTTACATATGTATGAAATATATTTCATAGTTATATTTTTTTAAATATTTATTTATGTACAAGTCAAAACCTTACCCTGTCTCAGTGGGTTAAATCACAACTGGTCAGTGTCCAGGCATGCACTTGACGCTCCTTTGGATGCTGGATGCATCTCCTTCTGCTGCTCCTTAAGTTCCTGGACATCAAAGTTCCGGGCAACTTTCGAGTTGAGGAATTTTCGACAAGTAGAGGCAGAAACTTTTGTTACTTTCGCAGGATACCTGAGCAGGACCTGGGCAGGACTCTGTGGCCCCGCCGAAAACTGGAGGCTGGTTTAATTGTTGTGTGTCCTGCCTGGCCTGTCCTGGCCTCGCCTGGCGGGGAGTATAAATTCAGATGGCGCTCAGGTGTCCTTAGTGGTGTTCTAATTACTAACAAACTTAATTTGCTACAAGTTATTTTCTTGCGGACACCGCTTTTGCCCGTGCCCACTTGAGGAGGACTCCTCCTTCCGCACAGGACGAGCGACACTTAAGTCCACGCGAATCCTTTGGCCTTTTTTTTTTCTGTCGGCAAAAGGATCCCCGAAAAAAATAAACTCAAGAACTAAGTCGGCAGATAGGCCGGTAAGTAAGTATAGTGAGTAAAGTAAGCAAAGTAGTTCTGACAAGGATTCAGGGGATTCACATGCAAATGAGTGCGAATATATATATATATTTTATTTGCATTTATTATAGTGTATTTATTTTTCCTATTTATTTATTGTAATTAATTACACTCCTTGGCCAACCACAATCGGTGTAAGCCGGACACACCTTCAAGCGATTTGAGGCCATGACAAGTGCAGTGTGCTCCTTTATCCTTCCAATGAAGTGGCCGCAACCGACACTTCATTGGCCCTAAGGAGTACCTAAGGATGGGGTCCTGGCCCTGGGTCTTCGTCTCAAGACCCCAAAATGGGAAGACGTTGTAAATTATGCGCTTTGGCATACAAATTGCATGTGCCTGGCAGCATGAAGCATGTGGCCACTCAACTGGCCGAGGATGCAGGTCCTGCTGATGGCCCAGGTCCTTCTCGCCTGCTTCTGCTCCTGTCCCTGACTTGGCATCGTCACCTCTAAGAAAGGTCCAGCTTCTGATGTTGAACTTCTTGGCTTATTTTGGGAAAAGGGTATTTCAGGGAATCTAAGAACTTAGGAAATTTTAATCTATATTTATCTTATAAAATTAAAATATTAAAATATATATATATATATATATATATATATATATATAATTTATTTTAATTATTTTAGGATTAATTTGTATACCTTTATTAAGTATTTGAGATTTTTTTAGCAGAGAACTTAAGTTTGTTCATAAGATCCCTAACCCTCTAATAGTTTTTGTCCTAATTAAAATTTTTTATAAATTTTCTTAATATAGAAATCTGAAATTTGCTATACTTTTATATATAAATCTTACCAGGCATGGTCTTGAAATTCTAATAAATCCAACTATTCCTTCACATTATAAAATAACTTAAAGTACATGGTTCCTAACTCCTACCTATCATAATTCTAAAATTTTTGAAGCTAAAAAGCTGCAATTTTAAATATTTATATGTATAAATCTTATCAAACTTAATACCAAAATTTATTTAAATCCAATTATTTCTTCACTTTATACTAGAACTCAAAGGACACAGTTTCTAACTGCTACCTATCAAAACTCAATAATTTTATAAGCTAAACAGCTGAAACTTGGTATATTTATATGTATAAATCTAACCAATATATGTATCATAATTCTATTAAATCCAACTATTTCTTTACATTATACCAGAACTTAAAGATAAAGAATCCTGACTCCAACCTATCATAACTCTATCATTTTAAAAGCTATAAATCTGAAATATAGGATGTTTATATATATCATTTTTACCAAACAACCTACCAAATTTAAATTATATTCCATTATTTCTTACCAATCTATCAGAACTTAAAAGCAAGGGTTCCTAACTCTTACGCATCATAACTCTACCATCTTTAAAGCTATTTCAATGAAACTTGTACCATTTTCAAGGAGACATTTCTGCCAGTGTAGTTCCCAACTTCATTCTTCAGAACAAATGCGTGGTCAAAGTTGTTTGTATGTCCGAGAGTTGCGTTGCCTCCCCGTTGGTGGTATTCAAATGAGAGAAGAAGAGTCTCCCATCCTGGCCATGCAACTTGTTTTTGCGGCACTTTCTTGGACATACTTTTCGGACTCAAAGGCAAATATTTTATGCTTTACGTGGTTGGGTTACTTGAGAAATTACGTGGCCAAGGACTACTCTGTGCCACAACTACTACTCCTCTCGTTGGTCGTTTTCATTGTCTTTTGATGGCCGGGGCCTTTAGTATTTAACATGAGCTGGCCGCCGGAAAGTATGCAAAGTTATTTCTTGTGTGCCACGACGATGTCTTGCGGGTTAACTAAATGCTACATTCTAACTCTAAACGCATTCAACTTGACTTTTTATCTTACGGCCGAGGCCACCCCCCCGAAAAATGCTGCCGAATGCTTTCTCCTGGTGACTGCTATGAGTGTGTGTGTGTGTGTGTGGTGTGTACTTAGCACAAACCGCAAAAAAAGTTGTAAAAATCGTGTAAAAAATTCTCGCAGAGAAGACGTGCAAAATGCGTTTTAGTTTTGTGGCCGCCACACACCACAAACTGGACTCGAAATAATTTATTTTAATGATAATGCATGCCGGCCATAGCCACTCGCCATCATCATCTCACTCCCCCCAAGCTTTGTGAAGAGTGTGTCCCCAGGAAAAAAAAACTTTGCTCTCACCAAAATCAGTTTGGGAATATATATATATATATATAGTATAGTATATATATATATTGTTCGCCTAATGATATGCCAGAAATATTAAGTGCTCGACACGCCCACTTGGATGCATCATTGTAAAACCCTTTCGGGCAAGACAAGTGCAAAGTTTTGGCCACAAAAACTTTTATGCTACCATAAAACTTGTGCATTTTTCTACAAAACAAAGAAGAAACAACCCAAAAAACAAAAAATTATAGAAGAAAAAAAGCCCAAAACAGAAACACAGTTGGTCTCACTTTTCTTTTGCTTAAAACAAAATGCAAATAAAAAAGTTTTTCACCCCAGAACGGCCGCTTTTTTCCACACTTTTTGCTCTCTTTTCCTTTTTTTTTTTGGTTATTACTTTTCTAAGAACTATGTACTTGGTTTGAGGTTTTTAAGGGGAGGGGGGACCGATTGGTGGGCAGCATGAAAATCCGAGGGGGAAAAGTGGCTGGAAATGGCCCGGGGCCAAGGACCAAAAAGGTTCGACCCACAAAGAAGGAATTCCTTGAACCAAAGAACTTGGGTTGTCTTTTTTATGGTTTTTTTTTCCCTTCTTTAAGTAAATATAATCACTTTAATTATTATTATTATATTAGGTATTTGATTATTTAATTAATATGTGTTTTTAATATATATTTATACAAACGAAAGTTTGAGATTCTCTTGATATCTTTTGCTTTGCAAACTCTCTCAGAGAGTGCAGCTATTGCTTGCACTTTGCAGGCAAAGAAAGAGCGAGAGTTTATTGTTGTTGCCTTTATTTTTTATCAAGTTCTATTTAAAAGCTTTATTACCATTCAAGCATTTTAGTTTTAAAATGTAAAAGGTTATTAAAAAAAAAAAAACACTATTTTAATTTAGATTTTGAGGTATTTTTAAGATAATTTTCATCACTTGTTTAAAATAATTAATAGGATAGTAAGTTGATTTAATTATTAATGGTCCCTGACTAACGCCTCTTGATCACATCGACTTTTTGGAGAGGAACCCTTTCCCACAACTGTCGGAATCCTGCCTCTGGCCTTCGAGGACTAAAATGTGCAATGGTGTCCCTTGTATAACCCGTTATCATCACTGGCACCTCGGCGGAGGACTCCTCTCCACCATCATTAAGATGATGAACCTCATCATTGGCCAAGATACCTTCATCCATGAACTCCAAGGAGAGAGTCTGCAATAAAAATAATTTATTTATTAAATTAACACAGCTTAGTTTCCAAAAGAAACCTAGTTTCCTCACTATTGATTTTCACTTCAAGGACTTACCACTTGGATGAAAATAGCGGCCAGCAAAAGGGTCAATAGTTTGCAGCAAAGGGCCATGACCATTATGCAAATACAGTCCAGAATCGGGGTATATATACTATATATTTTCGTTCTCGGCGTCTCACAACATTTTTCGCTGAGCTACGGAACCAAACTAAAACCGCCAAGCTGCTAAAATCGGTTGGAAATCGTTCCAAATCGTCATTATAATCGAGGTTCGGCTCAATCGGCTCCGATTCCACGTGTTCGGAATGCCAACAGTCCCTCTTTTGACCCTGCCTTCGTGTACGTTTCATCTATTTTTAGACCCCACTTCTCTCACCTTTTCGGGCCAAAACTCACCTGCTGCTGACTCATTCAATTACCTGGGTTTTTTCTCTATTATTATTGTTTTTCTTTTTTTGCTTTGTTTTAATGATGAAAATTGCTATTTGCCGGCACTGCTTTGCGTTTGATTTGTGTTTTAATTTCCATCAATGGCTGTTTGCGAATTATTGACCAGAACGTGACCATAAAAAACAATACAAAATATTAAATAGGTAAACATTTTGAATGCGCAAAAAAATGTCATCAGACGGGTGTTATTTTTAACACTTGTAATTGGGGAAATAAATATGTAGGAAATATTTCATTTATTGAGGGAAATTTTCGAAATGTTTATGTGATTAATATAGAAATTTAAGGGTTTTCTGGAAAATATAATCTTTTAGGAATATTATTTTCAAATAATTCATTCTGGTTTTAAAATATTTTAGAATATTGTTTATATATAACATTTATAGTTTATGTAATTAATTTATAATGCTATTATTTACATGCTTTTTTATGATTTTTTTAAGTAAAAATAACATAAATTACGTTTAGGCGTGTTTGACATCGATTATTTCGAAATGTATTTTAGAAAATGAAAAATTCCCTCAGTTTTGATCAATCTGACAAATTTTTTATGTCCTCATCCTCATTTGTAAGAAATTTTAAGTTTGTAGTGTCTTTATAGAGCGTGAAGCGCATTTTACTTATTATAATTGATTATTTTTTTATCGATATTAAGTAAGAATAAGCAATGCGAATTTTGATGTCACTCGACTTGAATTGATGTAAGAATATAATTATAATGATAATTGGTTATATTTAAATTAACTTATAGTCTCAATTATAATTTTATGAAAAGCGCAGAATAGCCACGTAAGATGAAGTGTATACCATGAGAAGCGCAGAGGAGGGCGTTGGAGATTCCAAGTTGTGACGTCACAATTTCACTTTTCACTGCGACTATCATGATACTCAGGCATGCTTAGGTGCCATGTATGAGAATCGCAGAGGAGGGCTCAAATAATATCGCCCTCCTCTGCGATTCTCATGGTTGACACTTAAGCTCAGTTGAATATCAAAATAGGGCTATGAAGATTCCTATGACGTCACACCATCTCCTTCATCTGATCATCTCATGGATGCCACGTAAACCCAGCTGAATATCAAAGGAGGCCTATGAAGATTCCGGATTATAACGATGCATATTATCGCCCTCATCTGCTCATCTCATGGATGCCACGTAAGCCCAGATTTTGGACTATGACAAATAATATCGCCCTCCTCTGCGATTCTCATGGTTGACACTTAAGCTCAGCTGAATACCAAAATAGGGCTATGAAGATTCCAATGACGTCACACCATCTCCTTCATCTGATCATCTCATGGATGCCACGTAAACCCAGCTGAATATCAAAGGAGGCCTATGAAGATTCCGGATTATAACGATGCATATTATGGCCCTCATCTGCTGATCTTATGGATGCCACGTAAGCCCAGATTTTGGACTATGACAAAATACTATTGCCCTCCTCTGCGATTCTCATGGTTGACACTTAAGCTCAGTTGAATATCAAAATAGGGCTATGAAGATTCCAATGACGTCACACCATCTCCTTCATCTGATCATCTCATGGATGCCACGTAAACCCAGCTGAATATCAAAGGAGGCCTATGAAGATTCCGGATTATAACGATGCATATCATCTGCTCATCTCATGGATGCCACGTAAGCCCAGATTTTGGACTATGACAAAATACTATTGCCCTCCTCTGCGATTCTCATGGTTGACACTTAAGCTCAGTTGAATACCAAAATAGGGCTATGAAGATTCCAATGACGTCACACCATCTCCTTCATCTGATCATCTCATGGATGCCACGTAAACCCAGCTGAATATCAAAGGAGGCCTATGAAGATTCCCGATTATAACGATGCATATTGTGGCCCTCATCTGCTCATCTCATGGATGCCACCGATGTCCTAATAATAATATACATTAAAACTTAAATAATAAAACGAAATTCTTTTATTTCATGCAATGTAAAATGAAGTCAAAGAACCTCTAAAAATTCGTAGTTTTTTTTTTTTTAAGTTTACTTCTTTTTAAATAAATTTCGAAAAGACTTGGTATAGTATTTCTAAAGTCAACACAGCTTTCTAAATTACTTCCTAGTGACAGAGACTTAAAGTCTAAAAGAGCCTTATATTAGTTATTTTTACATATTAAAATATTTTATATAAAATGTAATATTCTAAATCAATATTATTTACCAATTCATATACTTTGTTATCCAAATGACGCCACTGAATGTTGTTATAAAGAAGAACTTTTAACAGGCGAAGCAGGAGGCTTTAGCCTAGGATAATAGCTATATTATCTAGATATATTATCTTTCTTTTATATATACTTATATCATCTTTTAAATATAACAAATAACTTTAACTTAGCTTATCAAGGAAAGATATTATACATATATCCAAGTTAAACTTCTATAGGACCTAGATAGATCTCATCAACCCCTATTTTTTTTACACAAATTTCTATAGAATATAGAAATATCTTACAATTATTATGACTTCCATCCCCATTTGTCCTTCGAGGTGTCCTTCTAGTTAATCACTCCCTGGGATTCCACACACCTTTGGTTTGACTGTCGCGCGGTGGAAATTCAATTAATCGCCCGGCTTATCGGCAAATGCAATCGCTTATGAACTCATAAGCACACTCCAAATATACACACACATATATATTCATACATATAGTGGCCGCACACACAGAGAGAGCCTATTTAGTGGACATGGTTAAAGATCGTTATCCAATTAGTCAAAAGCTCGTGTAATAAATTGCCCGAATTAAGGTGCGGAATTTTAATTACATAATTTACGCGTGTGCGTTGCGTGGCCATCGAAGATGCGAGGGATGGTGACATTAGCATTAGCATTTAAGCCCCTTTGGAATCATAGTGATTTCATATATATAGTTGGGAAAAAATATTAACAAAAAACAAACAAAAGTCAAGCGCAGTTGGCCAGAAGTGCGTTTGATAGCTCATCTTAATAGAAAAGTACACGCAAGTCATTAGAAAAATGACAGTAATAACAATAATTATGAATTTTATCCGATTAACGGGAAGAGCCCACCCATATTCATATACACACATTTATATATATCCATATATATATTCAAATATTTAGTGCAATGCGTGCCATTGAACAATTAATTCTTATCTAGTTGGGCTGATGCAACAGTCCCTCTGACTTTTGACCCAGCCTGACTTTTGAATGGTGACCTCGGTGGCATATTTCTCACATGTCATCGTTGCTTACACTGAACAAAATTAATCACTAGAAGCATATGGTATAATTTAATAAATATTTTATTCTTCTAAAGATGATATTCATTATATTTTCAAGAGATTTATAAATATTTATTAAGTAATACATTTAATATTTATGTTTTCTGAGCTCTTCAAATATATTTTTTAGCTCTTAAAATTCCCAAGCATTATATTAGTTTAATAACCTATAAAAATGTTTAGTACTATTTAAGGTAAATATCTATTAACATTAAGAAATAGTTACTTAAGTAAATATGATCAGTAAGTAACAATGATCAGTATAAATAACTATGATCAGTAAATAACTCTGAACAGTAAATAACTATGATCAATAAGTATCTATGACCAGTAAGTAATCTTGAATTTTGCGTTCAATTTGTTTTTAATTTTAATAATTTATTTTGTAAAATTTATAAAATTCCTACAACGAATACAGTAAGAATTTAATTTGATCCTTAACTATTATTATTTATTCTATAAATTCAAACAAATCCAGATTAATTCCAGACTTACTTCGTAGGCATTTCTGCTAAATAAACTGGAGCTTCTTAATTTTTTTAAAATATTTTTAGAGGAAACTTTTCTCCCAGTGCATGTCCAACTGTGGGGCAATTGCGTGTCAAATGCGCTCAATTTTGTTATGACAATGCGATGTAATTAGAGGCCACGCATAGGCCCAATGACGATGACGCTGCCAAAGCCCATAATATATGAGTCCTGCGGCTCCTGCCTTGCCACAATAGTTTTTATTTTTGTTTTTCCGCTTCCAAGTCCGAGTCCTGGCAGGACCAAGGGTACCAAGTACCGGGGCTAATCGCCAGCCAGGCTCTTTGGGTGTGTTCCCGCGCACTTGATAAATATTGTAAATGGCAGTCCCTATTACGCGCCTTTCCCCCCACTGATAATGACCGAAGTGTGAATGACAGTGGCGTCGCAATGTAAAGGGGGGTATAGATGAGTGGATGAGTGGAAGGGGTACATTTGCATATATGCAAAAGGGAGTGTTTTCATTTCGACAACTAATATGTGGTAATAATGTGCAATGACTACAAAGTTGTAATGGAATTATTAGAATATTTATGAAAGAAAAGGTTGACTAGGAAAAAAATTTGAATATAGATTTCTAATTGAATTAAAATATATATTTTTAACGAAGATTTATGAAATGTAGCTTGATTTATATATTTTCTAGATCTTAGGGATCATTAATAAATATAAAATATATTATTAAATATTTTTTTAACTAGTGTAATCGCACTTTTAACATTTTTTATATGTCTTTACTATTTCTTTTCTAAATTTAAATCATTGGTATATAAGTTTGTTGCATATGTATATATATTATAAACATATCTGTAGTTAATATAATACAATAACATATATAATTATATAGAAAATGTTTAATACTTTTATTTATTCAAATATCCTTTACTTAATACATTTTGTAATTAATTAAATAAATGATTTATTCATTTCAATGTAATAGATGTCCTTCTAAGGTTTTGGACTAACTTTAGCTTAGATATCTATGGAATAAAATTATCAAAAAAATATAAAATAATTTTATTTATCATAATACTATTAACTTTATTTATTTTACTTAACAAAATTCTTGATTTATAATTATTTTTTGAAATAGTAATGATGAAATATCTTTTGTCTCTGAGGCCAGGGTTTGGTTTCATTTTGCTTCAATTTCTTTAAACTAAAATGACCAAAAAAATATAAAATAATATTATATATTACAAGATTATTATGATATGATTTATGTTTTATTTTTGTGAATTAAATACTTGATTTATTTTTTATTTTTTTTTTGGGAATGATGATGCAAAATCTTTTCCTGTCATGGTTTTTTTTTTGGGATTCCAAAAGCGAGTCGTGGGATATAAACATTATAATATTATTTAATATTTAAAATTTTAATAATTCTCTTAAAACCGTTCAAGTTATTTATTTTAATGAACAAAATTCTTGATTTATATTTATTTTTTTAAGTAGTAATGATGAAATATCTTTTGTCTCTGGGTCAGGGTTTGGTTTCCTTTTGCTTAAATTTCCGTTGAATAAAAATGACCAAAGCAATATTATATAATATTATATATTACAAAATTATTATGATATCATTTATGTTTTATTTTTTTATGCATTATATACTTGATTTATTTATTTTTTTTTTTTTGGGAATGATGATGATGCAAAATCTTTTTCCTGTCAGGGTTTTTTTTTTTGGGATTCCAAAAGCGAGTCGTCGGAGGCAACTAATTAAAACCACTTAACAAATGCTTTCTCAACTGTAAAGTTAGCTATAAACAACGAACCATACACACACACACACTGGCAAATACACACACACACACACATATAGGTAGAGACATATGCAACTTGAAACAAAAATTAAAAAGCAAATAATTTTCATGGCATTTGCCGGGCGAAAAAACACACTCTCACACTCGTCGCTCGGCTTGGAAAAGAAAACAAGAAATTCCAACATAATTCCAAATAATATTACAACACCTGCGAAACCGTTTTGAGTGCCTTCCCCCTCCCCCTGCCACCCCCCCCTCGGAATAGGGGGAAAAGGGTTTTTCTTGAAAAATCGCTCCACTGGAATTAATTAATTTGCCGTTGACGCTGCAGAGCAAAATAGAAAAAAAGAAATACTTAAAAAACATAACACTCCCATACACATGAAAATAAACAAGAAATGTTAAGGGGAACATCAGACAGCTAATAAAATATAAATATATGTATGTATATAGAAGTTAAATACATCAATATTCAAATATTTAAATAGGAAATTAGACGAGAATTTAATGGTAACTTTCAAGGAAATTCTGAGCAGAAATCTTTAAATCTTCCAAGAAATTTGTAGATTTATTTTTGTAAGAATTTTAAAGGGGCTCAAATTTGTAATAATATATAGGATAAAAAATATATAAGATCTAGAAATAAAATTAACCACATTCCGAGTATTTCCTGTATTCATTTTTGAAGAGGGGCGTGAATATATGTATAGAAAAAAATCCACTAAAAGCGGGCTAAAACGCATGTTCAAGGTGCAGAACGCATACAAAAATTTTTGATTCTGATTTGTGTGTGTGATGTGCGAGATGTGTGTGTATTTGTGTACCTGTACAGGTGTGCGTATGTGTCTCCATCTGTGTAGTGGCACTTGCTGCTCATTTTATGCTTCGATTGCCCCTAAAGTGCAGACGCTTTTTGCCACAGCTGAAGCTGAAACTGAAGCTCCCTGGCATCTGCATTCTGCATCTGCATCAGATTTTCCAGTTGGTATTCACACAAAAAAAAAATATATATATATATATATAAAAGGAAAAACGAGGTGCAGAGAATATCAAAATTTTCCCCCTCATATTCTGCGAAGAATTTGCTTTTATATTCAGGCTAAGGTCGATAAATCTTAGGCCAGAGTGACCATGCTAGCTGATAGGTACAGACCAGTGTGGCCTTGCTTGGTGATAGGTACAGTCCTGCGTGTCCTTGCTTACAACAAATTTAGAGTGAGATTGATTTAAATAAGTATTATAGAAATATACCTATATATATAAAATATATAAAAACACTTGGAAATATATAAAGAGTTAATAGAAATTTATGTAGTGTAAAAATGTTGTTTATAAAATGTTATAATTACATAGTAATACCTAAAAAAATCCATATATAATATAACAAATATATATAAATCCGCATAAATATATGTAATTTTATACCCTAATGACCTTTTCCCTGTTCAGCATATTAACTCCAGATAGAAATCTCCCACTGAAAATTTAAGTTTTCGGTCATTTGACCATCATTGAAGCATATCATTCAAGTCCCATCCATTATAAGCAGTAATCGACCATGGTAAGATCTTGATAATATTGGGTCTATAAAAAGGTTTGTAACTGAAACCCTGCCCAACAGTTGATACACAGTCCTTCTGCCCAAATGGAACATCGAATTTTCTTTGCCTTTTTGGCCCTCACCTTGATCCACCTGCTCCTTGGGGATCAGAATCATTTGGTTGAGGCTGCACCCTCTTCGGATGATCTGTCCAAGTTTGGGGAAATGGAGCGAACCATCAAGGAGTTGACCAGCTCGATTCTAGCCATGAGTGGAGCCAGTTCGGGTAGGTTCTTAATATATATATTAATATATAATATATATTATTTAATATATATTTAATACATATTACTTAGTACATATTTATTGTATTTTACTTTATAATTTTAGGCCTGAATTCTGCAGATCCTTTGGCCAACCGAAATGGCAATAATATTTGGCCAGAAGATCTTCAGGCCTAAAGACGGCATTTTACCACTTGGGCTCGGTCTACTAAATCGGTTTTAGCAGCTCTGAAGTTTATTATTTTGGCCAAATATACAGTGAATATATATATATTTCTTTTTTTTTTAATATAATAAAGAATTAAAGGTTGTGAAATTGTAAAACAGTAGTTTTTGGATTGAAAGAAATCAAATTTGGAATATATTTTTAGCTAGAAGCTTTTTTCGATGTGAAGGAGTCATTTCCAACCCTATAAATCATATATATTCCTTGATCAGCATCAAAAGCCGAATCGATCTAGCCATTTTCGGGAAAAAAATATTTTATTTTATTTTTTTAATTTTTACTTCTATAAAATTGTCAAAATTTGGCAAAAAAATGCAGATTTATAAACCTAATAAAAACTAACTTAGGACAGCTTTCCGAATTAAAATTAATGCATCTTTGGCTTAGTTATGAGATTTTTAAGCATTGACTTGTGCAAAAAATTTGGCATTCAAAATTATCGATAAATATAGATTCAAAGAATATTTTAAGCTTATTTTTGATCAATTTCCGATGCAAACCTATAACTCAATTGCAAACTGCAAAAGTAGTTACTTTCTTTTCTTGTTTGTGTTAAACTTTGGTTAACATAAACATAAATTAAAATGAGTTTAAGATTATGAAATGTTTAAAAAGTTGTTCTTAGTAAAATAATTCCAAATGTTAAAATATAAAGAAATATTTTATCTACGACTTTATTTTCTGAAATGAAAAAAAAAATTTCTTGAGCTTTTCTCTATGATATTTTCTAGGAAAAAAAATTAGTAAACTAATTTCAAAAGTTAAAATATAAATACATATTTTATTTAAGACTTTATTTTCTGAAATGAAAAAGAAAACTCTTGAGCTTTTCTTTATGATATTTTCTAGGAAAAATAATAAACAAAGACCTGCTAAAGCCTAAACAAAACTAAGACAAAAAAATCAACCATACAAATCCGAGAACGCAATCCAAGTGCCTGATCATTTTGAGGACGGAAGGCGGTCGCAAATTGTCAGCTAAATCTAATCAAGTTAATTAACACAGTGGCACCCCAATCCAGCTACACTGAGAAAAACATAGACTAGAGAAGAATATACACTTAAAATTCTAAGCTAAAAAACAACAAAGGTTTTAAAGAGCTTTTAAATGAAAAGAAATTAGTTAGCTTTTGTAGGTATGTAAAATTTTGAATAATTATTTTGAAGGGTTATTATTCAAAGATATTTATTTAATATTTAGTTTATAGTTATTTTTGTTTTTATATTTCATATATATATATATTCAAGTTAACTTGTATAGGCCTTTAAAAATTCTATTAATTACTTTGAAGGGTTATTATTCACATATTTTATTTAATATTTAGTTATTTTTGTTATTATATTTTTTATATATACATTTTTTCTTTACCTTATTATTTAAGTTATGCATATTTTTTAATATATTTTAATATTTAGTTATTTTTGTTGTTATATTTCATATATATATATATTCAAGTTAACTATTATAGGCCTTTAAAAATTCTATTAATTACTTTGAAGAGTTATTATTCACATATTTTTATTTAATATTTAGTTATTTTTGTTGTTATATTTCATATATATATTGTTTTTCTTTGCCTTATTATTTAAGTTATGCATATTTTTTTTGAAGTGCACCCAATTAGCCCTCGAAATCCGTCGATCTTGTGGAGTCTCGAAGGCAAAGACAACGACGCCTTTGCCCCCAGCGACTCAATTTGCTGACTCAATTAGCAGAGATCAGGGAAGGAGGAGGAGCAGGAGGAGAAGGTGGGATTGGGATTGGGATTGGGACTTGGATTGGGCCTGAAACTGGGTGACTTTTCCCTCTGGCTTGTCCCAGATCAGCTGTCTCTTCCGCCAGTCAGCTGTTTGCTCGATAAAATCTGTCATTTGCCGAGCAGCCAGAGTGTCGAGTGTCCGAGTGCGCCAAGTGTGTGTCATAATATCATTAATAAAATAAAAAAATAGATATATATAAATATATAAAACAATAATAGACGCCGCTGTCCGGATTGTGGTTCCAAAACCGAATCAAAGTCAGACCCCAGTCACCTCTGATGCGTGCCTCCGAGCGGTGCGCTTTCCTCCGCTTCAAATCTTATTTTTTTTTTAGTTTAACTTAGTTTTGTGTGTTTTTTATTGTTGTTTTTATTATTACTATTTTTTTAATTCGTAAAAATGCACGTGGAGGAGCTAAGAGCGAGTTTGCAGAGCTTCGGCTGGCTGGATTATTTGGTCTTCTGTCTAATGTTGGCCATTTGTGCCGTAATTGGGATATATTTCTGCCTTCAGCTTCGAAGGGAGTCCCGGAAACAGAAGGAACTCCATGGGGCCGAGGTGGCGGCCAGCAGTGCCGCCTCTTACCTGGTCGGTGGAAGGCAGATGAAGGTCTTTCCCATCACCATGTCACTCATATCCAGGTGAGCTAAAAGAGAAGATCTAATAATAATATAGATAATAATAAAACAATATTATAATTATAAAATAAATTGAAATAAACAATAAGTTTGATATTTATTGTACAAGTATTATGATTATTTTCTTAGTATTATTTACAACAATTATATAATTAATCTAAAATACATAATTTAGCTCCGAATTTGCACAATAGAAAATATTTTCGTAACCAAAATTCCTTAAATAAACATTATAAATCATTACAAAAACGTTATAAATTATTATTATAGGAAACATTATAAATTATTACTATAATAAACATTATAAATTAATATTATAATGTTTATAACAAAGTTTCTATATTTATACCCTTGGAAAGTAATACAATTTCAGTCAGAAGCTTAAAACTAAGTGAAACAATCATTTCCGACCCTATAAATCATATATATTCTTGATCAGCATCAAAAACCGAATCGATCTGGCCATATTTGGTAACAAAAAAATTTCAATTTTTTTGTTCAAAATTTTATGAATTTTTTCATCTTAACAAATATCAAAAATTGACGAAAATCTTATTTTCTTAAATTTCAAAATTGAGTATGCAGATTTGTTAACATAATAAAAACTAGCATAGAACATCTTTCCGAATTAAATTTATTGTATTTTTGGCTTAGTTATGATTTTTTTTTAAATTTTGATTTGTTAAAAAAATTGTCATATATTTATATTCAGCTAAAGGGTTATGTGTTATTCTTAAAAACCTAAAACACTTAATCTTAATATAAGCTCTCAGGTTTCTTAATTAATAAAGAAAAGTAGCGTTTACGGAAGCTGAAAAAATAAGGAAACATAGAGAAGAAACTAAGATAGAAACAACAAAGAAAGAAAGATAAGTTAAAGTGACGATGATGATCAAAGCAACTCAATAAAGAGCAAATTCCATTTAAATTAAGCCACTCACTTGCTGGACCACTTTTCCTGTTAAGTATTCTTATGCAATGGCGATGGGAAAACCCTTTCATCTTATTTTAAATTTATGACAGGGAAGTTAATAAGGAAATAAATATTAAGAAAATATATTACATATATAGAGACATTATAAAATGAAGTAATTATAAATTTGTTTTAATTTAAGACGCTTTGCAGTTAATGTAATATTTGATATATTAATTTCACACTTACAAATTTAACTATAAATGCTTTTAATATATAAATATTAATATTTTTTTTTAAATTTATTTATTTATTTATCCAATTGCAACAAGGTTGAACCTATATTTATAGTGATAAATAAAAATAATACATACAGACCAAATAAATAATATTAATTTGAACATTTTTAAATACATTCATACACATATTTATAAATATTCGCAATATAATTAATAAATAATAATAATAAAATACACAAAGAATAGGAATATCAAAGATACATATAGATATATTAGATAGATATTTAAAAGGCCCTTTCTTTGAGACATATTTATATTTATTAAATATAAACAATATCTTCAAATACTATTAACCCAGTAAATATAAAATAAATAATATCAAATAATATAATAATAAATAAGTAATATAATATATATATTAATAATATTTATCATGGATATTTTAAGACCCTCCCCTTGTGACATATATAAATTATTATATATTATTTATTTTTTTCTGCAAAAATTGTACCCCTTAATCCAACCCTGCTGTCAAATTTGCTCCAGTTTCGTACTCGTTGTACTCATCGGTGGAGGTATTTTTAGCAACTGGTAAACGCAACTCGTAGTGCTCCTATCAACGCACCAAAATCATAATTAATAATTGGCTTCCATGCGAGGCAAGCGACCCGCATGCAGGGCATTCAAATTGACAACGACGACGATGGGCAATTGTCCCAGACTACGGACTGCGAATCTGAATCTGAATCCGAGTCGGAATCCACCATCCATCCACAGTCCCAATCCCAATCCCAATCCCGACTTAGACTTGGACACCAGAACATTACGACAATGACAGCGACGACATTGGTGCTAATTGAATTGTATAAAACGCACTTTGATCTCACAGAGATGATGGATGCGATGAGGTGACAGCTGTGAGGCTTTATTCCAAGGTCAAGGCAGTTGTGCACAGAGAGAAAAGTAGCCTTAAATAGGTATAAAATGTGAATTTAATCGAAAGAAATTGAAGAGGAAAATGGGTTAGAGGTAATAACTCATATACATATGTACATATATGTTTATAATATATTGATTAAGGTTTAAGGAAAAGTTTACTTTGATATATAGATGTAGATATATAGAACGTTAAAAAATCGAATAACACTTCAAAATATTAGATAAAATATTATATATCATATATATATATGTTTATAATATATTGATTAAGGTATGTTTATGGAAAAGAAAAGTTCAATTTGATATATAGACTAATATCATAACGTTAAAAATTCCACTTTTAAATGTTATCGTAAAATATCCACAAAATAATATTTAAATTATTTATTTACACAACATCAAACAGAATATCAATTTATTACACATTTATGTATCAAAAAGTTAACAAAACAAAAAATTTTAATAGACATTGCTTTTAGATTAGACTTTTAGACTATTAATATCGATGTTATAGAAAATTATGCGACATATCATAGTTAGAGTAAATTTAGATATTTCAAACTTGAGATTATCGAAAAATATTGCCTTTAATGTTATAATATCGATATAATGGAAGAGAAATAACCTTAATTTATGAATTTGAATATTGATATAGATAGATATAGATATAGATAGATATCTCGATTAGATATATCGAAATGTTTAATATGACTTATGATAATGGACAAATATTGCCTATAACAATATAATATCGATATAATGGTAGAGAAATAACCGAATAAAATTTAAATTTAAAAAAATTTCATAGTTAAATACCCAAAATATCGTAGAGTAAGATATGTATATCAAAATCTTTTAATATAATAAATAATTTAGATTTAAATACCATTATTATAGACAAATACAAACATATATAAAATCATATTTATTGTTAATTTAGAGCTATAGAACTTATAAATTTTATATATTATTGTCTGTTAATCATTGTCTTATTTAATTTATTATAATTTTTACTAGAACGAGAACTATTCATAAACCTTCTTTATCTTTAACTTTAATATTTATTACTCACTTTCCAGCTTTATATCTGGCATCACACTCCTGGGCACACCCACCGAGGTGTATTTATATGGAGCTCAGTACATGTACATTATGGGTTCCCTGGTTTTGATGGGCTTTTGCATGTACTATTTCTTCCTACCCGTTTTCCATGAACTGAATCTAATATCCACCTACAAGGTGAGTGTATAATAACTAAGAGATCTACAAGATATATATTATATTATAACATTTCTTTTAATATTATCCACAGTACCTGGAGCAGCGTTACAATCGCAGTTTGCGGCTCTTTGGCTCTGTGATGTTTATTGTGGCTTCGGTAAGTGTACTCTAAAAATCTAAATCAAAGAAGTTCCTTAATTATCATATATCCTTTATCCTTGACAGCTCCTTTGGCTACCGATTGTGATCTATGTGCCTGCCATAGCCTTTAATCAGGCCACTGGTGTGAATATTCACATTGTCACACCCATTGTGTGTGTGGTTTGCATCTTCTACACCTGCATTGGTGGCCTAAAGGCGGTGGTTTGGACGGATGTCATTCAGACCCTGATTATGTTTGGGGCCATGGCCTTGGTATTGATCAAGGGAACCCTGGATATTGGTGGTCCCGGTGTGGTTTGGCAACGTGCCCAGGAAACCTCTCGCCTGGAGAGACCCAACTTTAGTGCGGATCTTAGTGAGAGATATACCTTCTATTCCTTGGTCCTGGGTGGTGTGGCCCATTGGTTGAAGTCGAATGCCATTAGCCAGAATATGATTCAAAGGTATTTGTCGCTACCTACGCTCCGGCATGCCAGGATTGCCATTTGGACATTTATTGCCGGTGTCCTGGCCTTTCTCCTGATCTGTGGCTATACGGGTTTACTCATCTATGCCACATATGCCCAGTGTGATCCTTTGGAAACCAAACTGGCTCAAAGGAATGATCAATTGCTGCCACTTTTGGTAATGGAAACTCTTGGCGCATATCCAGGATTGCCGGGTGTCTTTGTCGCAGGAGTTTTTAGTGCCGCTTTGTCATCATTATCCACGGGCTTGAATTCCCTGTCGGCGGTGGTGCTGGAGGATTTTGTAAAGACCTTTCGAAAGAGTCCTTTAACCGAAGGACAAACTGCCTTCGTGATGCGAAGTGTGGTTGTGGTCTTTGGCATCGTATTTGTGGCCTTGGTCTTTGCCGTGGAGAAATTGGGAGCTGTTTTGCAGCTAACGATCACTTTGTCCTCGGTGGCCAATGGTCCATTGCTGGGCATCTTCACTGCTGGCGTCATGTTGCCTTGGGTGAACTCCAAGGGAGCACTCCTGGGTGGCTTTAGTTCCTTGGTGGTCATGGCCTGGATGTGTGTGAGTGCTCAGCGGGATTTGGTTACAGGGGATTTGGTGTACAAACGGAAACCTTACTCCACAATGGGTTGTAATTACACCTTTGCCGGGGAGCCGAGAGAGTTTGCCAGTCTTGGAGGAGGATTGGGAGGAGGAGGAGCTGCCATCAGGTTGGAGTTTTAGAATTCTAGAAAGATTAGTATTATATTCTATATATTTAAATCTCCTGTTTTTTTTTAGCACTGCTGCCAGTGCTGCTCCCTTTCAGCTGTACCGCATCTCGTATCTATATTTCACCTTGTTTGGCGCCTTGGTGACCATTCTGGTGGCCTTGGTCACCAGCCTGATCCTGCGGGAAACCAATTTGGATGCAGTGGATACCCGCCTGCTGACGCCCTTTGTGAGACGCTGGCTGGAGCGACGTCGTCATCGTTTACGATCACAAGTGCCAGATCTTCGAGAGAAATCCAAGAAACTGGAGACCACCACGTGATAGAAGAGGATTTGAGGATATACATATGTATATATCCTGGCCATGTTTCATGTTCCTTTCGGTAGCTTAGCAAATATATTATATACTGTATATTTAAAAAGAATAAAAAAAATCATAATTATTTTGGGGTAACCAGAGAGAGATGTGGGTTCAAAGCCTTTTGCTTGTGATGCTTTCTCTGTAATTAGAAAAATGCCCGCAGTTATGGGGGAATACCCGAACCTGACCCGAACCTAGAAATCAAAGCAACGGCTGCCCAAATAGAGAGAAAATCACAGGGGAAAATTACAAAAAAAAAGGGGTTAAGGGGGGAGTTTTCTTAGAGACATAAATCCGAATGGGTTAATACTCTTTTTTAAAGGGAATTAAAAGGGAAAGTGTTGATTTTATGAAGGATTTGTGAGAGTTTTGCTGGGTTTTATTTAAATATATATATATATATATATATATATATATATATATATCAATCAAAAATATTATGAATTATAAGAAATACCATCAAAATCGATTCAAAAAACATTTATTTTATACTTTTCTATATAATTTTTTAAGATATCTGATAAGATTTGACTATATATAAGTTTGTTTCAAGTGTTTTTTATTTAGTTTTGCATAGAGAAGGGTTTTATTTATAAGATGTTAGGGTATTTATATTAATTTTATATTTTCTGTATATATTTATATATAGTTTATGTATTAAGTATGTATGTATTTTATATGTTTTATACATTTTATATGTTATATATTTATTTTAATTACTTCTGTATCACTTCCAAGTTAATTAGTTTATTTAAACTTATTTAATAATTCAATTTAAGAGACTTTGAGTCCTTAGAGAACCCTAGGAATCACTATACTCTCTAGAAAGAGTATAAAATAATGATATAAATGTAAAAAAAGGCTCTGAACTGCAGAGAACCCGTACTCGTACCCCTTGGACCGGGAAAATGGCACAAGACTGAGGATGGAGGGTGGCCTGCTTTCAAGTGCCAGTCAGGCACAAGTGATTGGTCTCTGTCTGGGGCCCAAGGTCAATTCTGGGGAAGGAGATGGCCCAGGACCTGAACCAGGATCAGGACTAGAGCAAGAGGTAACCCCTTCAGAAAAGGGTTACGTTTTCACATTTAGTTTTCCGTACGTTAATTGAATATTTACTGCTTTTCATGTGTGTGCCGGCCGGTGGTCAGTCTGCATCCGAGTGTGGCCAACTATTTTGTCAGAGGGAGGTACATATTTGTATGTTTAGGTCGTTTATGCAGCAAATTGAATTGTTAATGAGCTGGCAAATGTTTGCGAAATTAGTTTTGTTTTTTTTTGAGAGCTCTAGGACTCTGTACTCATCGATGAGAAAGACAGAGCCATATGTCCTTACTGCTACAGCTATTTCTCTCTTAATTAGCCGCTTGAAAAAATAATTTTTCACACAAAAGGCAGTGACAGAGGGTGAAACAGCAGCGAAATGTCATCAGAATGCATAATAATAACAGTTTCCGGGCAGTGTGTGTGGCTTTTTGTGGAAAATCTGGACAAAAGCATAGAGAGACACAGGTGCGCCGCCTTGCGGCAGTTATGGAAAAATGGGGTTCACAGGCGGTGAAATGGGAACGACCAGTGCCAGGGGGAAGGGAGAAAGGTAGGAAAAGGGAAGGTACTCTGGACAGTTGTCATATGGGTGGATTGTTTTTCTTCTTTTGTTTTATATTTCTATATATATATATTTATTTTTTTGGGGAGGGACTAAAACAGGAAACGGAAACGGAAGCTGAAAGCAGCGCTAACGTGCCAAACTGCCAACCTGCCACTAACAGCAAACTACACAATTAGTACAACAACAGAAAAACTATAAAAATTACTACAAAGGCAAACAACAACCAAAAAACTCCTCGCTCTGTTAACTTGTTTATGTCGCCGTGTTTGTGCTTTTGTGTTACTTTTTATCCCGAAATATAATTTGCTCCCGGTATACTCTACGATTTTTAGGGAGAGATCTTAGGAGGTGAAAGATGCATAACGCCAAAAACTTTGATAGAATTACTTACAAGCCCAGAAGATCCAAACTTATCCTATTATAATTATTTTATAATTATTTTAATCTTGATAGAACTTCAATTTCATTTTTTCCTTTTCAAAATTAATCTTTTATATTTATATTATATATGTTTAGGGTATTTATAGCTTAATTCTAATACCTCTGTCCCTTAATTTTTTGTACAATTTTTTGGAAAGCCTGGCGGCCATATAAATGCCAGTGACAATTTTTGCAACGGAGGTTAACCCACAACGTCCTTAACCCCTCCTCATCTGCCGCCCCACTTCCTCCCTCAGCTGTCCCGCAAAACAGGGGCACAAAAGTCATTTTTGATTGTTTTCATGAAAATGAGCATAGAAAAATTATAATTAAAATTCATATGGAAATTGTCGAAAAAACGAGCCACTACAAAATGGAGGCGAGAACAATGGTTGTGCTTCGTGTTGTTGTTGTTGTTGTGGTTGTTGTTGTTGTGGTTGTTGTTGTTGTTGTTGACCAAAAGATTTCATCTAAAAGAGACCCAAGAAATGCAGTGGCCAAAAAGGGGTTAAGGGGGTCCAACAGGGGGTTAAAGGGTAAGCTGCGCTGCGGGTTTATTGTTTGCGGGGAACATGTGTTTTCGTTCCCCTGGCTCACTCACCCGCCTCAATCTTTTTGCCTGCCAAAACAATGTCAGCTTACAGAATTAGAAGGGCATGGGTTAAGGGGGCAACAAGGGGTTAAAAGGGGGACAGTCAGCCACGGGCTTAGAGGGCTCTGAGAGAGTGAGGGACTCTACCTGGAGAGCAAATGTACAAAATTACAGAGAAGAAAAGCTAAGATTATAAAACTTGTATCATTTTCAAGGAAAGAAAAATCAAGAAAATATGATTAAAAGCAACTTATAAGCTAATTTAAGGCTTGAATAAAATTTAAAAAATATATATATTATATAAAAATATCTAAGTAATATAATTCAGGGATCAAATTTGCTTTCAGTGCCTTCAAAAGCACAATGGTTTTGCTGGCAGCCAGAAGGAATAACGCATGCCGGCTGCTCACTTTTCTTGTTGTCGTTTCATTTTTGGCACTTTTATGCGATAAAATATTTAATTATATTCGGCAGCTTCGTTTGTGCATTGTGCGGTGGCTTTTCTCTACTTTTTTTTTAGCCCATTTCAGCCCATTTTACATCACCTTGGGGAGTGGGCGTGGTCAGATTGCATTTCGAGTGTCTGACCAAAAATATGTAATGATTTTGGGATGGATGCCTTAGCTAAATGTTTAACAGTATATTTTTATTCATTATACTAAATAATATTATAAAATATATTATTTCAAAGCATAGTTTTATATTAAAATTAAATTATTTATATTATATTAATCTTAACCTCTCTAATGTAGTAAATAATCAAAAAAGCTGAGGTTATATCATCTTTCAAGGATTGTAATTTTTAAGTTACCAGATATTTTGCCACTTCTTTGTATTTAAGCTAAAGCTAATTAAAATTAGATATTATTTTATAGTTAAAGTTTATTTTTCATAAGAGATTTGAATATTTTAGAAACATTTTCCTTTACAGCCAGATTTTAGCTTATTTTACCCCTAACTTTAGTTAAAAGCTTATAACTCTGTGAAGGAATCATTTCCGACCCCATAAATCATATATATTCTTGATCAGCATAAATAGACGCGTATATCTAGCCACTTTCGGTACAAAATATTTTTTTCAAAAGTTTTTAAAATTTCTTAGGGAGTAAAATTGCCAAAATTGTACAAAAAATATTTAATTTTTTTTTGTTTTTTAGATAAGTATGCAGATTTATTAACCTTATAAAAACTAGCATGGGACTGTTTTCCGAATCAAAATTAATGCATTTTTGGCTAAGTTATGAATATTTAAAGCTATGATTTATCGAAAAAATTGCCATATAAAAATATCGATAAATATAGAATCATAGAATGAAAATATTTTAAGCTTAATGATGATAGATTTCCGATTTGATTCTATAATTTAATTGCAAAACTGCAAGGATTTGGTTTCCCGAAGTTAGATTCCTTTCTTGTTTTTTTTTGTAATTCCTTTATCTCAGGTTAAAATTATTTATTAAAATTTTGTCGAATTCCTTTTATCCAGTGGCCACTGTGGTTGCCATCGTGGTGGCTCTGGTCGTTGTCGTGGTCGTCGTGGTTGTGGTTGTGGTCGACGTTGTGGTACCCAGTGGTCGCTTGATGATGGTGATCCTAATACAACCGGCATGATCAGGATGGTCACCAATGGGCACCGCATTTCCCAGAGGGAGCAGGGACTCCCACACAATCAGTAGGACGAAAAAATGTGAAAAAGTGAGAAAATGGAAAGCCATTATGATGATTTTCCTGTGACAATGCGTCGATCCTCGTTGGCTTTAAGCAACTGACTAATGTCAGAGCTCAGATTTAACCGATCTATATATATATAAATATATATGTTTAAATGAATATATGGAGAGACAGACACTTCTTGCAGTTCCATTCAATTGGCAACAATAATAAAATTACAATTTATGTGTTATATCAACAAATGCGATTGTAAATTGCAGCCTCACCTTGCAGCGGTCACGGGTCACGCCCCTATTATTCATTTCATATATATATATATGATCATATGTATATATACTTATATATCCAGCTGCATCAGATAGATCTAATTCCCAGGGATTTCCCTTGACTTTTAGCGCATTAATGCCGATGCATATCGGTTTTAATTCATTCAATTCATTGGAAAATGGGGAAAAACTCTTTAGCTGCAACAAATTTAGCTATTTTTTTAACGGAGATTTTGTCAAGTTAGTAGTTTAATAATACAATAGTTTAATCTCAATTTTTTAAGGTAATTTGTTGATTAGTCAGAGATTTTTTAATACGATAAATAAGCCTTTGTTAGCCTTGATTGAATTTAATTAAACTAAAACAATGAGTTAAATATTACAAAAAATTAAAACAAATTTATATGTGAGCCATAAAAATATCTAGAAAAATATTTAACCAAAAACCTAATTATATTCTTGCTTATGAAATATTTTTAAATTTTATTTTTACACTTAAACTTCATTTTAAGAGCAGTCTTTCAAGGAAATTCATGTTAAATTAACAGTTTCAAGTTTTCTCCAATATTTTTTCAACATATATAATTTTTTTGCCTTCAAATATTAAATAATTTACATATTTATATGCTTAGTATGCTTTTCGTGTTTCCCTTTTTCCCTTAAACATACAATTTTCAATTTAATTTGCTGGAAAACGTGATTTTATTTAAAACAGCTGAAAAACTACATAGTTATTGGGTTCACAATTGGGTTCATTTCGGTTGTAAATCAATGGGTATCCTTGCAAGAATTTTATCCTGGAATTATCCCGATGAGCTAGCCGTCGTGGATGGTGGTGGTGGTGGTGGAGCTCCACGTGGTGGACCTCCAGTGGAGTTGCGATGATGACCCACAGACTCCAGGCCACGAACCACATTCACTCCAGCCGTGGAGAAGTGCTGGAAAATATAAATATTTGATATTAAATATATTTTTAATTAATTTTTTTATATTGCTAAATGTTTCTAAAATATTAAAACATTTTTCAAAAGTGAGTTTGATATTTATATAATTTTTTTTTTATATTTTAAAGAACTTGTAAAATATTTAAAAAGCTTTTGATGATTTACAAGACATTTTAGGTGTGCTAAGTTCTTGGGATTAATGTTTCTTTCAATTTTAAAATATATTTAAACATGTATGACTAATTTAAAATGTTTTTACGAAGAATAAAAACATATTTTAGGAATGCTAAATGCTTAGATTAATTTTAAAGCGTTTTTAAATGTTTCTAAATTTTTAAAAATATTTTAAGGGTGTTCAAAAATTCTGTTTTTATATTAGTATTGATTTTCCAATATTTTAAAATATTCCTTATTTATTGAAAATGCTTCTGGTGGTTTAAAATTTTTTTTTTAAATATTTTAGAATGTTTTTCAATTCAATTTAGAATATTTATAATGGTTTGCCATTACTTTACAATATTTTTACTTAGTTAAAACTTTGTTTTTGAGATGATTATACATTTTTTAACAGCTTAAAAATGACACAAATGGTTTTCACACTTAGTAAAAAGTCTCAAACTAGTTTTTTAATATTTTTAAATATTTTCTATATAGAAAATATTTATATCACTCACCAACAGGGCACAGCTCAGGGCGAAAAAGAAGAGCAGATAGAAACGCATCTTGATGTCGAATGTTTGGCATTGGCCCCGAAAGGTTCCCTTTTATGGCCCCGCTTTGTTTATCCAAAACAGAAACTATATATTATATATAATATATATATGTATATAACAGGTGACTGTGTAATTGCAATAGTAATTGCCATGCCACATTAAATATTAAATTGAGGTGTTGATTTTGTAATAATATTATTTCAACTCGCCGGCAATTATCATGTGCACTGGACCTGTATCTAGTTTCCGATTAGAAAGACTCGTTTATATATTTTGTGGACTGTTTTTATTTAAATATTTTTTTTTTGTGCTCGTCACAAAATCACGTGCCAATAAATAGTGGTTTTTGTGTGAGACTAAAGTATCTTTAAGGGCACGTATCTGGGATGCCTAAAAGCTTCTCCATCCCCTCGTCATTCGTCTGAATTAATCCCAAAAGCCACTCAAGATTGCGACACTCGTGACCTGTCGCCAGATATTTGATGAACTGCCATGGGATGTGGATATATATACATATATTCGGATTGGCATTGATCCCCAGCATCTAGATATGGTCATAAATGTCTTGGCAAACTTTTATTGCCAGTTGCTTTTACCTTTGAATCGAACCTGAGACACGGAAGTATATTTCCCCATCGAACTTACAGGGATTTCTACACTTGAATTTATTTTTGTTGTATTTTTTGCTCAAGTTTAATATTATTTTATTAAAGATTATAGAATTATTAAAGTAATAAAAACTAACATAGGACAGCTTTCCGATTTAAAATTAATGAATTTTTGACTTAGTTATGAGTTTTTTAAATTTGGATTTATCGATAAAATTCTCATACAAAAATATCGATTTAAAAAATGCGAATATTTTAAACATGGTTATAATACATTTTCGATTTGATTCTAATTATATTTGAAGGCACTGATTAATATTTAAAATGAGTTATAAAGTAGATATTTAAACTTAAGGTTAGATTTTGGACTAAAATTGTCTTAATTAAAAATATATCTCTATTTTACACTATTATACATATTTTATTTGAATATAATAAATGTAAGAACAATTTTTAAGCAGCCTAAAAATGTCTGATATATATATTTATATTTTCCTTCGTTATCAGCATTTAGTTTTCCTATTATTTTAAATTAATATTATCTATACAATTTAATTTATCTTAATTTTTCGCTGTGCATCATAAACGACATAATACCAGAAAAAATAAAAAAGTTGGAAAGGAATCATAAAAGTCACCGCAAAAACCTTTGGTTTATTGGATTTTTACGATAAGCCCCCCAAACGCCAGGCAGGATTTTTCTCGCAGATTTTTATTTAGCACACAAAATGAGGCTAAAAATGAGGATGTGGCTAAGGATAAGGATAAGGATGAGGCTGGGGGGGCTACTGATGATGATTCGAAAAGCACTTTCCTTTGCAAATTGCAGCTGTTATCGCTGATCAACATATATACATATATCCATTCGTATATTCGTACATATATATATATATATAGCAAATCTGGCGACTGTCTCCGGTCTCCGAGTTGAATGCAAATCAAACAAACAATAAATTGAATCAGGACATTGTTGAATGTAACAGATAGCCATAGAGAACAATGGCAATTGAGGCTGAGGCAAAAGGAGTGCTCGCATATCCTGCAGACATTAAGGATATCCTTGAGTAGATGCAATTTTCTAACCAATATAATTCATAAATTTATTTTCAATCCTTTCCGCACATAAATTCTCATATTATGCACACGCACACAAGGATATTTTTCCTTTTAGGCCTATTGTCCATTGCTGCATGTCCTGTGTCCTGTGTCCTGCGTCCTGCGTCCTATGTCCTGTGTCCTGCTGCCTGTGTTGGTGTGCATTATTATTTGTCGTCGTGCTTGTCATTATTTATATGGGCAGGCGAGAGATAAGTTGCTGCCCCCTTGAAGAGAGAGGAGAGAGGGGAGCGGGAGAGAGGTGACAGGATGCAGTGCTGGTCCTGGCAATTACATAAGCACCAAGTAAGAGTGAGTGGGAGAGAGAGATGCACGGCGATGTCCTTCGGTGCAGGTTGTTGGCCCAAAATTTGATTTATAAATGCCAACACCGAGCAGGTTGTCTAAAATGCCATCCATCCCTACCTTCTATCCTCCACTCCCCCCCCCCCCCCCTACCCATTATCCTGCCATCCTTGCTGCCTGTCCTTGCTGCCTGTTCTCCCCCTCCCCGGAAGTTGCAGTTACTTTTGCTGACAAACGTCCCCAGGACCAGCAAGGAGGCGAGTTGCAACTCAAGTGGCCATTAATATATCAGTTCAATTCATATTTGAAATTTTGCATTTCCCCCAAAAAGCAAGGAACGAGGACGAGGACGAGGGACACCGAGATCCTTGTCCAGCTGGCACCTAGAGATGCAAAAGCATCCCTTCCCAAAAGCCCCCCTTCTGCATTCGGAACGATTATGATTTGTGTCTTACTTAATGCACAGAGAGTCCTGCCAGTTTTCTGGGGACACTGAGCGAAATAATAGGAGGTTCATTTCAAGAATTTTAATATATGGAAAATAATAAAGAAACTAATAAGTTAACAAAAGAATGTGAGAAGAAAGAAATGAATAATATATAGTATCAAGAACTGAGTGCTGGTTTAAAAGTAATTTAAGTCTCTTTAATACTATGTTCATAAAGAAATACAAATATTCAAGGAATAAATATTTATATAGGTTACAAAATAATGATATTTAATTATTTTTATAAGAATTTTAGTTCAAGCAAATATTTTAAATAGGTTTTTATTAAATTATTTCTTTAATATTATTTATTATTTTTATTAATAAAGTACGGTTGACTTCAAGAAATTAATATTAATAACTTCATAAAGAAAAATAAGTCTCAAGAAATATAGAAAAAACGTTTTTTTAAATAAAATTATATATTACAATTATTTAATTTCTTATAATTTTTTTTAAAAATCGTTTTTTCTATTTTTAGTATTTGTATTTGTATTTGTAATAAGAAAAGGGTTATAGAAAAACACGAGAAAGGAAACTAACTTGCAATTGCAATTGATTTAAAGAATCGTATTGGAAATCTATTATAACTAAGCTTAAATTATTTACTAATCAATATTCTTTGAATCGATATTTATAGTTATTTTTATACGTAATTTTTTCCCACAAATTAAAACTTGAAAAACTCATAACTAAGCCAAAAATGCATTAACTTTAAATCGGAAACCAGTTCTATGATAGTTTTTAATAGGTTAAAGAATCTACATACTCAATTTAAAATTTTAACAAACTTCAATTTTTGACCATTTTTGGAATTGTTAACAATGTAATTTTAGGGATGAAAATTTTATGAAAAAATTTTTAAATTTTTTTTTCCTAATTAAATGGCTAGAACGATTCGGCTGTTTGTGCTGATCAAGAATATATATGATTTGTAGGGTCGGAAATGAGTCCTTCACTTTCTTTTAAGCTTCTGACTGAAGGCCCATTACCATTTTTGTACCGATATTAACCATATTTTTATATTAAAATTTTTCGACAAATTAAAATTTAAAAAACTCATTACTAAGCCAAAAATGCATTAATTTCAATTCGGAAAGCTGTTCCATGTTAGTTTTTATAAAGTTAATAAATCTGTATATTCAGTTTATAATTTTTTTTTTTTAATTTTTGCCAATTTTTTATATTTTAAATGATGTAAAAAGAACAATAAAATATTGAAAAAAAATTAAAAAATTTGTTTTTCTGCCAAAGATGTCTAATTTTATGCGTCTGTTGATGCTGATCAAGAATATATGTATATGCTTTATAGGGTCGGAAATGAGTCCTTCACAAGTTACAAGCTTCAGACTGAAATTATCACATCCTACATAGGCATAATAGTAAAAATAAGTTTTTTATTGAATACATAATCTAAATAATTTAAAAACTTAATTTAAGACTCAGAAAGTAATATGATATTCTGTTAAATTATATTTATTTTTAACTTAACCAAGTTAAATAAGCTTAAAGGCAATATATGATGCTATATATCTCTATCAAGTCCCATTTTCACACTCAAAAAACCCCTCCAAGTTGTAGAAACTATATAAGTATTTATATATAATACACCCCCGATTATTTGCAGTGTACAATACGGTGTCCAACGGCACAGAACCAAAACAGTTAGATGGTAACTGGTAGATGGCAGAGCTGGAGCGCCCGGCGTCGTCTCAATCTGATTGATTTAGAATTCCAATTGAGACTGCATGAAATATGTTTGCTTCGTGTCTGGGGGCTTCTGCTGTGAGTCCTGCGAGTCCTTCCTGGCCGCTCTGCCAGCATTTATGCATGGGCATATCCTTTTGCGAAATTTGCATTTTCGAACAATTGCAAACGGCAGCAGCAGCAGCAGCAGCAGAAGGAGCAACAGAAACAGCAGCAGGACGACAACGACGACGACGACTTATTGGTATTTCATTGATTTATGACACTTGTGAAACAATTTGGAAAATCACAGATTAGCAATGGAGGAGCAAGCGGAGGTAGGGAGGGGAACAGGATTAATTATACCCTATGCCTCATCGGGCCAGTACAGCACCTTGGCCCGGTTTGACTTTGTCATGTAAATCAAAATAATTGCAGGACCCAAAAACAGGACAGGACTAACTAAAGGACACAAAAATCACAAATTAAATAAAAGCTGTGCAACTATTTTATTTTATTTTCATTTTCATTTTCACAGTTAGCCAGGCAAAAGGGTTTTATCCTTTGGGGTTTCCTTTATAAAATGTAAATTTTAGACAGAAAAGAGAAATTTTTCTTGGGAAAAGAGGTAGCTTTGACATTTGTTTAGAAATATACTACAAGTATTTTAGGTTTATTTTTTATATGTTTAAATATCAGAATTTTATTTATATTTATTATAGTTTTTCTTTGAATTTTTTACATGTTTATTATATTTTTAGAATATATTTCCTTTTAATTTTTATATGTTTATTATATTTTAAAAATATATTTTCTTGAATGATTTTTTGCT